GTCTGACATACTTTGGGCATGTTGCAAGGAGGGACTGGTCCTTGGAGAGGGACATCATGCTTGGGAGAGTGGAGGCACGGTGCAGGAGAGGAAGACCCTCGATGAGATGGGTCGATTTTGTGATTGGGGAGTGAGTGTGCCGGAGACAGTGAGGTTCGCACAGGATAGAGCAGGGTTTAGAGCTCTTGTACATAGGGTCGCTATGAGTTGCAAGCAACTCAACAGCACATAACAACAACAACAATGAAAGTTTATAAAGAACTTGGATTTCTAGTCATTCATTCATTGTTGCACATCTTCTTCCCTGCCCCTCAAACTCCCCAGTTTGCTTTTTTCTTTGGAAAAAAAGTTTTTTCATTGTTATACAGTTTCTTTCCCCACCCCCAGATCATTTTGCTATGCAACTCTTATTCTGGATTCTTGTCATGCCAATATTACCTAATCATATATTCCTTTTATACAGTTCTCTCCCTCATCTGTTTCAGTACTGTGTACATTATTTATCCCCTCTTTTCTTAGTTTTCCCCCAAGCCCCATATCAGTCCTGTTCTATAATAGTGGCTTTATGCAGTATTTGTCCTTTTGTGACTGAGATATTTCACTCAGCATAATGTTACCCATTTTGGATAATATTTCAAGAGTTCTTTGTTTTTCGGTGCTGCATAATATTCCATTGTGTGAAGAGACCTCAGCTTCTCTATCTGTTTGTTGATGGGCACTTGGGTTGTTTCCATCTCTTTGTTATTGTAAACAAAGCAGCAATAAACATGGATGTGCAAGTCTCCACCTTTCTTATGGACTTTGGAAGGGGAACAGATGACTGCAGCCCAGTGCCCAGCACCTGGGAAGCAGTTATGCCCAGTGATGCCAAGAACTCAGAAATGGAATAGACATCTTTCCAAGAAATATTCCTGAAAACAGAACGGACATGCCAAGTGTCACTTCAAGTGACAGGATGGCTTATCGGGCTTGCTAGGTTAGAAGTCATTAACATCTGAAGAAGGTTTTTCTCAGAGGGGGGTTGTCTGGCTGTGGGGCTGAGTGGGGAGGCGCTGACTGGTGCCCTGACCTCTTTGGCTGTGACACACTCGCCCTGCTGGAGTCATGCATCTCGGCTCTGACACCATTATCGGTGTCTTGTTCATTAGCAAGATTCAGGTTACAATTTGACATTCCATGGAGATTCACCACAAGAGGGTATCTAGCCCAGTTGATAGGAGGATAGTTACTTATTTTCTGTGCTGTTTTAGTCCTTGTTGTTGTTATTGAGTCGCCTGTGACCCATAGCGACCCTATGTACAGCAGCTCTGAACCCTGCCCTGTCCTGAGCCAGTCTCATTAATTCTGACACACTAGCCCCCATTGCCCCAGTTACTGTATAAATCCATCTCATTGGGGTCTTCCTCTCCTGCACTGACTGTCCACCCTTCCAAGAATGATGTCCTTCTTCAAGGACTGGTTTCTCCGGCCACACGCCCAAAGTATGAATCGTAGCCTCCAAGGAGAAACTTGTTTTCACCCTCTTTAAGACAGACCTATTTGTTTTCTTGGCAGTCAATGGTATGTTCAAGACTCTTCTCCAGCACCACAATTCAAAGGCATTGAGAGTCTTCTTCTAGTGTGAAAAACCATGGCCTGGATTAGGCATACCTTAGTCTCTAGACTGACCTCATTGCTTCTCAGCACTCTGTAGAGGTCCTTGACAAGTTTTTCCCAATGCAATTCATCTTTTCCTGAATGTTGGTGTTAAGAGTGTTGATTGTGAAGCTAAGCAAGCTGTAATTGTTAACAACCTCAATCTCTATCATAGTGCTGC